ATGTTTATTCTGAGAATCTGTACATAAACATGAAGCCAAACATCTGTCATTGATTTTTGTAGTAACACCACTTCCACTGCTACCACTACTGACTGCCATCCCTACAAACACCAGACTGCTACTGCAATTGCTATCACAAGGCTTTTTCACCAGCACCACCATAGGAGAGAACCAGTACACCTCCAGTGGTGTTGTGCCACTCATGGTTTAGATGGGTATTAAATTTGGAAAGGTGTACACATTCATATCTGTAGAATATGAGTAGAATATGGGGGGTATTCAATCATGTGATTTTTTGGTGCAGAAAATGGCCTATAATTTTTCACAATCTCGATCCATAATCCCTAAGTTTGACCCCTATTCTCGACTCCAAATCTCCTCCCGTATGTTGCAACGACACTGGACAGCTACACAACGGGTGATCAGAAGGGTATGCGGAGAACGGAAGGAACAACATTTTCTTCTGTTTTGTGGCACAGCAAGTTAATGCTTTCTCAACCTGTGAGTCCGAAAATCTGACCTTCATAGTGATAAACTGACTGCGCCAACGAGGATCACGATCACTGTACGGCGCCTCCTTATCTTTCCCCCTACTCTACGGGCCACCAATGGATACCCGCGCCTACATAAACATTTGCATAAAATAGAAAGATGGATGGGCCGCGAGTACCGCGCTTACATAACACTAGCATCATTCTCACCACTGGTGCACCACACCACGCATATCGGAGATATTATATAGGGCACCAGTACCGAGTTTCAACATTCCCTACACATGCAAAGCAAGAATCTGTCATCAGAAAGAAATTGACGGCGGCTGCTTGGTATGCATTCTTCGGGGGTAGCGGGACGTGAGAGGGGACAGAGAAAGTTTTGAGATACGGACGCTGTTTTCTGCTTTTCTCACAAGTATCCTTTGGCAGGATATACAGCAAAAGTGTACTTAACTTTTTGCTTCTTTTTGGCTCATGCATCTCAACTTTCTCCCTGTACCGAGTATGTACTCTTCAGTCACTGCCACCTCCCATTACTTCTAATCATCAAGGTTCGCTATCACAACCCAGCATACCCCCGACTTTACCTAACCGAGCTGCATCGTCGTCGTTGTGAGACATCACATGTATTCCGGTGGCGGTGAGTTTTTTCGCATCCCTAACGACGAGGTATTTTGTTTAGTTGTTCCAACAGCTTCGGTACACTGCTAAGATAACACTTCAAATCATGTATACAACCTGTTATACGTCCACCGAGCGAGGCGTCCAGCGCTGCATAATTGACTTGAGCACTTTTATAATCCAGCTTACACGCGTTCGATCATAGCATTGTTCAATATATCGTACCACACACACCATAGAAAGATAAATACCTTACCTACTTGAGTTGTGAGTACAGCTCCGTGGTTGCATGCATGCGTAACTTTCCAGGAAGTCCCTCGGATTAATATTGGGGGGTCGATCTGGAACTGGGATCGATGACAGCAACCATTGAAGGGATAACTTTTTCGCGACGGACCAATACGCGTTCATGTGACTGTGGGAGGGGAGAAAATCTGACGGTAGCGGGAGAAAGGGGATTCCCGATACCTGGAGACGAGAATGGGAGGAGCCCTCCACTCGAATGTGGAGATGAGGTTGTTGGATTTCCGTGTTTGAGCATATATCGCAAAACAAAAGAACTGCAATTTACTTAGCTGCAGCCCGTATGTTTTGACTATGGACCGCAACACCACAGTCGCGGGCCGTGGCAGAAAGTCTGTTTCTGATCAAGCCAACCTCATGATACGACATTCACCAGCCATGAATTTTATCCAGAACTGTCGTTGCCCGCTTTTTATTAACTACTTAGTATATACTGAACCAACAACGACCGTGCACCTCAGGGTTCCTGAAAGTTTTCTATTCTGAGCCTATTAGCGAGCCCCGCTTGTTTTAGGCTTGCCTATTTTTGCTCCCGGGTTCAACCCTGCATGGAAAAAGCTTGAGCCAGATCCAACTACCCATTTGGTATGGACGGAGAAGGAAGTGAAGGAAGAGGAGCGCAGTTACTTGCGATGGTGGCGGCGGCTCTATACGATCGTCGCGATTACAAAAAACTTTCGTGATTGCAAATTCCCGATGGAATGGCTGGGGGATGTGAGAGAAATGACAATGCTATACGCAGGAGAGGAAGCCGGTCTCCCAATACAAAGTCCAAAAAGCAATGAACCTGAGCCTTGGAACCTTTTACTCACCAATCAATGGGAGCGAAGAAAGATATCTTGAGCTCTGCTGAAGAATTATGGAAGACGTGACTTGATAGCTCAGAGTGTTATGATGATGAACAAGCCGGATGTTGCCGTTGGCGTCTAGATGTTCAAGAGATTCGGAAGTACGCACTACAGAAGAAAATTATGCGGTGCATTGTGGGCAGCTGTTGCTTTTTTTTCCTGGGATTGAGAGAAAAGTGCACCTGGAAAACTACACTTAGGACTCGGTGCAATTGATGCAGTCATGATGGGCGTGATGTTCACAAACACATGGGCCCAGGATTCGATTCCCCATGCAGGTTATGTCAAAGGCAGATGCAACACCGGCGCCACGAATAAGAACCATAACTATGGCAGCCGTCGGTACCACTCCAGCCAACCAAACGGCTTCCAACAAATCCGCCTCTTCCTCCTCCGGCCAACATCTTGTCTCCCTTATTTTCCTTTTTATTTTTATTTTTCTACTACCATATCTTTGCACTTAACCTCCTCCTTCTCCCCTTCTTCATCTTCTCCTCCCCACGCAATTTCAATTCATCAATTTCCCCCCCCCCCATCACCCCCGCCAGCAATGCATCTCCTCCCCGCCTTCACCCTCGCCCTCACCGGCTTCTCCACCCTCACTAACGCCGCCCCGTGGAACCCGCGGATAAAATTCGCCCGCGAGCTCGCGCATAAGGTCTGTAACTGCAACCTCGACAAGGCCACTCTCCCCATGATCGAGGATCAAACCTGTACGTTTCTCCTCCTCTCCCCTTCTCTCTCCTACTAACCCTAACAGACCAACAACTCACCCAACCCTCCGCTTCCCATCCCGTCCGCGTCGTCCTCGGTCGCGGAACTCAAAACTACACCTGCGCGACAAAAACCTCCTCCTCCGTCCCCGTCGCAAACGGTGCAAAAGCCAACCTCTACGATGCCTCCTGCCTCGCGCAGAACCATCCCGAAATCCTACACACCCTCCCCGCCAAATTGCTAGACATGAAAGGCGGATATGGAGAATTCATCACCAAGCAGATGAACCCGTACGATCGCACCAATATTTACGTCGGATACCATATCTTCTCCAATCCAACGACTCCCGTGTTTCATTTCAAAAAACCGGAGGATGATATGTTTGTTGGCAAGAAATTAGAGGGTGTGCCGGCGCCGAAAGATGCGAAACCTGGGAAGTGGGGTGCCGTGGATTGGTTACTCCTTGGGGCGACGAGTTATGGTGAGGGGTACAAGTATAAGAGTGCATATAGGGTTGTTACTGCGGGGGGGAAACCACCGAAGACGTGTGAGGGTATGGAAGACGAGTTTGAAGTGCCATATGCGACTGAGTACTGTGAGTTTTTTCTTCCGTGATTGTTCCTGAGGAGGGCTGACCGGGGGGTAGGGCTCTATGAGTAACACCGGCGAGATAGGGAGGCTGTATATTCCCATCTGTGGGGGGTGGGATGTACTTGTTGGGGGTCGTGTGGGTTTCTTTTCTCAACATTATCTTATCACTTACCTCTTTTCCTTTTCCTTTGTCGTAATTCTGTCTACCCACTTGTTTTCTTTTTCCTTCGTTGCATACAAAGCTGGTTCTAGATATCGAGCTCCGGAGTTTTTTTTTTGTGTTTAGTATTTGAATAAGTTGACTTTTTGGGAATCCTCAGGGATACAAATAAATTAGAATATTTTTGGCCTGGCTAGCTGCTAGGTATTACAGTTTGCTATTTGTCTCGCGGCTGTTCCTGAGATGAGGGATTCAATTCTTCCCCCAGCTACTTGTGGCGTTCGTCATGGTTATCACATGTAACTCACGTGTCTAACTAAACTTTCTCAATCCGTCTGTCTATCCGTCGTCCAGCGTCTATGCGCCGTCACTTCAATTTTTTCCCCCCTTCGTTCGCCAGACAGACGCTTCGGATGTGGCTTGCATGGCGGTTATGTACCAGTGTCATTGTTTATGCAGCACGTGTGGACAGTAGAGATTGCCGAGAGAAACTGGAGAGTGTTCTTTTCTATTTTTGGTGTGCAGAGTATAATGGTAGGCTTTGTACTGTGGGTGAAGATGTTGGGAATGTATGAGCATAAGGAGAGTATCGATTGATTGCCAGATTTTGATGACGGTGAGTTTACGTTCTGCTGGCATTGATGGTTTATACTACCGCCTAGCACTTGATATCAAGATTTACTATCGGCGCCGCAATTGGGAGTGGGGGAGAGGGGAACCTATCCCTCGATACATGCTCTCTGCGGCGACGAAGGACCCGCGCGGGGGAGAGGGGGTTTCATATATCACTTTACATATGTAGTTTCCTGGTGATGCTCCATCCACCGCCTCAAAAACACCCCAACTACAACAACCATTCCGTCCTGTCGAGTCGTCGCGTTACTAAACTCGTTTCCTTGGGACTTACAACTTCAAAGCCGAGCCGCCCATAAAACCTGCTGACCCAAAAAAACCTATCCTAGATTTATTGATTGACCCATGTCTGTTGTCTGTAGATCTTGCAATTTGATCTACCTCGCCAAATTCCAATGTCGATCTTGTTTTTGATAAACCAAGAACACGGGGACAGATAACGATTACGATACGGGGTTGGCTTACTTAATGGGGAGTGGAAATCCGGATTCTTTTTTTATGACGAGAACTCCCATGGAATTCGGTGATCTAGCGGGAGCATCGACTACTACTCCATCTCCAGATAATTGAAGGTAGTTGTGGAATCTGCTCTGTACTAAATTATATTTACCAAAAACAGCTCAGCCAATAAGAACAGGTCGCTTAGCTCAGTCGGTTAGAGCGTGGTGCTAATAGCGTATAAAGCTAGAACACGCCAATGTCGCAGGTTCGACCCCTGCAGTGATCATTCTTTTTTCGTCTAAGGGATGCAAAAATTCAGTTTCAGATACTAAATGTGGAGATTGGGTGTTGGAAACTTGGCGAATGCTAATGGAGAGTGTACGGGGCTGTCTCTTTTCATGGCGTTTCTGCAGCCGTTCAATTCCAAAGGTAGGTTCATACGTACATATGTAGTCACTCTCAAGATAATAGGTATTAGTTACTTCGTGTCCTCGAATTTCACATAAACGGATGCCGCATAAACCCCTTGCTAAAATGCCCAATGCCCATATCCAATTTTCTCGTGCCCAGCCTCTCCCTCGCACGCGAAGACATCCAAATCAAATCAAACTCGTCATGTCAAAACCTCCCAGCATATCCGTAATCCCTCCGGTCAGATCAACTCCACTCATATCCACACCACTAAAATCCATACCCTCCATTCCACTAAAATCTCCACACCCTCCATCCCCTCCTGCATCTTCGTATACGTAGTCCGCTCCAATGTCTCCACCATCATACCCATAATCGCCAGTCTCGTCGTATCCTCCGGTGCCGCTGCCGTCGTCGACATATCCCCCACTTCCATCATCGACGTACGCCCCACTGCCATCGTCGACGTATCCCCCGCTACCATCATCTACATACCCGCCACTGCCATCATCTACGTACCCACCACTGCCGTCATCGACGTATCCCCCGCTACCATCATCTACGTACCCGCCACTGCCATCATCTACGTACCCACCACTACCATCATCGACATACCCCCCGTTACCGTCATCGACGTATCCCCCACTACCATCGACGTATCCTCCACTACCATCATCAACATACCCCGTCTCGGTTGCATAACTCTCTCCGCCACCATTCGGGTCTTCGGTGTAGGATGTATCTGTGTATGGATCAGCCTCATTGGATTGCTGGTCGTAGACCGTTTGGTCTTGCTGTTGTTGCGTTTGGTCTTGCTGTTGCGTTGGGTCTTGTTGCTGCTGTTGCTGCTGCTGATGCATTTGTTGTTGCTGCATTTGTTGCTGTTGCATTTGCTGTTGATGCTGCATTTGTTGTTGATGCTGATGTTGGATCAGCATATTCTGCATTATCATCTGTGCCTGTTGTTGCTGCATTTGTTGTTGCTGTGCCGTTGCTCCCCGTCCTACTCCCCTTCCTGCTCCCCGTCCTGCTCCCCGCCCCACTCCCCGCCCCGTTCCCCTCACTACTCCCCGGCCCCGGCCTTGACCCCGACCAGCACTAGCAATGGAATTGGCTAGTCCAGCTCCAATTTGGGGCATGTTGACATTGACGGGTCCCAATTGGGTGGCAGTTTGGACGTTCGGATTCACATTTACCTGCATTTGTTGGCCGGTGGCGGAGAACGTGGGCTTTATGGGGTTTTGTTGAATTTGCTGCTGCAAATTTATCTGCTGGAATTGCTGTTGCTGTTGCACTGGCATCTGCTGTTGTTGAAGTGGTATGACGCCGACCTGCTGCTGTTGCTGTTGCTGTTGCTGTTGCTGTTGTATGGGCATTCCATTCTGCTGTACCGGCATCACACCTTGTTGAATCGCCATTTGCATCCCCATGCCGCCGACTGTGGCTGCTGGTTGCCCCACCACCGCCAGTTGTTGCTGTTGTAGTGGCATGCCATTCGGTTGAATTGGCATCCCGTTCGACTGAACCATGATGCCGTTTTGCGTCATCGGCTGTTGCTGGATAAACTGTTGTTGCTGCTGCACTGGCATACCATTTTGCATGACCATAGCGCTCTGCATTGGTTGCTGTTGCTGAATCATAACGCCCCCACCCACCATCACTCCTCCAGCAGCCATAAGCCCACCCCTCGCCTGAACCATGCCACCCCTTCCCCTCGTAACCATCTGTCCTCTCCCCCGTACTACCATCTGTCCTCTCCCTCTAGCCATGGGTTGTCCTCTCCCTCTAGCCATTGGCTGTCCTCTCCCTCTAACCATTGGCTGTCCTCGCCCCTGCGACTGTTGGGTAACAGGCCTCTTCTTCGGCTTTGGGATCAGCAGGCTAGGATCTTTCCAGATGTTGCTGTTCTTAAGCTTCTTGGTTGCAGCCTGTGCGACTATCATCGACTGCTGTAGACCCTGCTGTGTCACTCGGCCCGCCACTTGCATTCCTTGTACTGCCTTTTGTTGATATGAGTTTTGTTGCCGCTGTTGCAGTTGAGGGTAGGCGGATGAGGGTTGAGGCGTCAGTGATGTTGACATACGACGCTGCTGAACTGACATCGGTCGCTGCTGATTTAACATCGGTCGCTGCTGATTCTGGGGTTGCATAACCGCACCGACAGCTTTCCGCGTCGGCATCGTCGTGCCAGGGCGGGGCATTGTTAAACCTTGTTGGAGTGGTTGCTGCATTTGTTGCTGTTGCAGTTGGACTTGCTGTTGCGGGAAGGATTGCATTTGTTGCGGTTGCATCCCCATCTGACCCATCTGCATATTCGCCTGTTGATAATTCATTGGAATTTGACCCAACAGTGGTTGCTGATGCTGCTGCGGAAACACTTGCATCTGCGCTCCCAGCTGCATACCCACCTGCTGTAACTGCTGCAACTGTTGCTGCTGCTGTTGCGGGTGCGGCGTCGGGCTCCCATAACTAACGCTCCCCCGGTGTAACAACGGCACACTCATTGCGCCCGGAGGAATAATTGGCTTCGGATTCTTAATCGACAAGGGACTGCTGCCACCACTATCTCCGTCCCTCCCCTCATCAGGGTCCGCAGGAACACGGAGAATGGTCGTCGTGGTCATTCCCTGACCCTTCGGGGCATCCAACCCCGTCGTTACAACAAACCCTGCAAACTCATCGTCATCATCCATACCGAACCCAAAGGTTGCCGACATTTTAGGGGTCACTTCAGTCTGCTGAGGTGGAGTGTTTGGTTTTGGGGGAGGGCAGAAAGGATCTTCAGTTATGGATACTGGGCCAAATGCTGTGGAGGACATGATGGGAATCTCAGACGAGGTGAGAGTAGGCGGAGACTTTCGCGGAGGCCTAGGTTCTGGAGGGGGTGTGCGGATGAGCGGCGAGACGGACGGGTCGATGTTGCTGGGTTGCTTTTTTTCTGAGGGCGGAGGCGTTGCAGGCTTTTCGGCGACATCTTTGGAGGGTATGGGGGTCTGGGTCTGGGTTGATTCTGTGGATGTGGTGGACTCTCTGGTTGGGGAATCCAGGGTGATTTCTTGTGAAGTGGTAACCGGTTGTGGCGGCTGACTAGGCGAACGCGCGGTTTGTTCAGGGCTCATTTGCCCAATTTCTGCAACAAAAGACCCGCCGGGTTGCACATTGCAAGGAGGTGTTGGAGTTCCTGGCACTGGGGCGGCCGTCGTAGGATGAGATGGTGGGGTGGAAACCTGAGGTGGCTGCTGCTTTTGTTGTTGTGGTTGTTGATGCGGTTGCTGCTGTTGCTGCGGTTGCTGCTGTTGTTGCGGTTGCTGCTGTTGCTGTGATTGCTGTTGTTGCTGCTGTTGCGGTTGCTGCGGTTGCGGTTGCTGTTGCTGCTGTTGCTGCTGTGGCTCTGACTTCGGAGCTATTTTTTCGGGTGCAGCATGTGGACGCGGTTGAACAGGCGTCGAAGCTGGCACTGGGACAGGAGTTGCGGATTCTCCGCACAATTCGACATTAGTAGCGACTGGCAATGGAATCCTCTTGACCGGGACTCGATTGGCTGGTGTTTGGACACCTTGTGGGCGGTTGATCCCTCCTAGTGCTCCGGGGCTCTGAGGGTGCGGTAGATGTTGCGCGATTTGCGTTGGACTAGAACGGAGTTGGATAGGTGACTGCAAGCGCTGCTGATTAAGCTGTTGCGGAGATTGGGAGGGAGCGGGTGTGTTGGGCTGCTGGGGGAATGTGTTTGCTCGGGCATGTTGTATAGGTGCTGGTGATTGGGCTTGTGCTGGAAGTTTGATATCAGCATTTGCATTATACAATCCAGTGGTTACTCACGCGGTTCCCAAGTAGTCTGTCCCAACGCTGCACTGTGGTAATAATATCTCTGGTGTGTCTGATCCCAGTGTGCATCCCATCCCAGCGGTAGTTGCGGTGGGGTGCTCACAACTAAGCTCTGTTGCGGTTGCTGATGCAGAGGGCTGTTGGCCGAAACAGGTGCGTCGTGATTCGGGTGGTCTCGGTATTGTTGCGCAAACTGTGAAGCGTAGACGGTATTATCATTTGTATGTATTCCGGCTAGCTGTTCGCTTGGAGCGACCCCCTGGGAATACTGATAGGGTTCGGATAATTGATGTTGATGAACCTGTTGCTGTTGCTGGATCTGCTGCTGTTGAATTTGCGGTTGCTGAAGCTGCTGTTGCTGCATTTGCTGCATTTTCTGCGGAGATATTTGCTGCTTTTCTTGCTGCTGCTGTATCTGTTGAATTTGCTGATGCGGATGTTGATATGCATCATTGCTCGGCTGGCCGCTGCCGTGGGTTGCATATGGAAATTGTTGTTCTGTCGGTTGTTGTTGCTGCTGCTGCTGATGTTGCGGTGTCGGCGTATGCTGTTGATGATATTGATATGACTGGCCGGCAGATCCCCCACTTGGGTTAATTGTCTTAGCACGTGAGAACTGGTGCGGTTGATGTGGGTTTGTTGCTTCCATCTTAGTGGTCGCTTAGGCGATAGCGGCGGTGTGGTGGTGATGATAATGATGATGAAGATGGTGGTGATGATGGGGATACTCAGGAGTATATGAGAAGAAGAAAGCGAAGTTCAATCAGCTTCTCCTCTCTCAGCCTCAACGTATGATCGTGTAGCATAGTTTTGCTAATTTTGGCAATGGTGATACAAGCAAGCGAACTCGCGAGGTGGTTGGAATTGATTGGCTGACTCAACGCGCGCAGTACGAGGTTAGGGTTGACCAACACAAGCTTTGCGCAAATGCGTGTTAAGCGAAAGCGACAATTCAAACTTAGAACTCATCAATTCCTCCACTTCACTGGTCAAATTTCATCGATTCGCACCTGCTGTCTTCATGGGTCTTATCGCACAGCCATTCTCATC